GACTCAGAACTTTTTTGTACACTTAATAATATAAATACTGAATATGACGTCCATACGATTAAAATAAAAATTTTCAAAATAGCGGCAGAAAATTTTAAATTAAAGTACAAAGTTGCGTTATTCACGATTTTCTAGGTTTATAGATTATTAAAATAAAAAATGGAAAATGAAAATATTGAAAATATTTTTGGAATTTCAAGGTCACACCTACGCCAAAATCTTAGTTTTAAATGAACATATATAAATGCTGAATTTGAAATTCGTACAATTAAAAATACAAATTTTCAATATGACGGCAGATAAATTTTAAAGGAAGAGTTGCGGAAGAGATGCAAAGATATGCGAAAAGATTGCGGAAGAGTTGTAAAATGGTTGCGGAATAATTGCGGAAAGGTTGTGGAAGTGTTGCGGAATAGCTGCAAAGATATGCGGAAAGATTGCGGGAGGGTTGCGGAATGATTGCGGAAGTATGTGGAAAAGTTGCGGAACGGATGCAGAGATAGATGACCTCCGAAGAGGTTACGGGAAGAGAAAAAATATACAGAGAGACTGCGGAATGACCGTAAAATTATATACCAACCTTGCGGATAAATCAGGCCGATAAATCAGGGACCCAACGAATATTGATTCGCTATTCGCTAGTAGATCCTACAGTAACCCTGACTTATCAGTCTGATGATCCACTGGGTCGATAAGATATTAATAGTGACATCTCGTTACAGATGTAGCAGCCGTACAAAGACGACGACGATAATAATGATGATAATGACGACGACGTTTCTTAAAGTAAAAATTTCCAAATCGGACTTTGCGTAGCAATAGCTCTGCTTATAGGGCACATAGCAAAAAATAAAAATGTTTTTATTATGCAAGTCGAACTCAAGCTTACTGAGAACTTGATTGGTTTAGCCGTTATTGAGACTCGGTAATTTCAAATACTCGCATCTCGCCGACTCGCGTAAAGTCACACGGTGTTCTCAATTGACTTGACACCCGAGACACTACCGTGTCTCCTGATCATTTTTCATTTTTAGAAAGAATAGAATGCGCTACTAAAGTGAGGTCTATTTCAGTGTCACCCATATAATACTTCTAAAAGTTTTTAAATTTTTCATTCATATTACTTTAATATCACACATTTACCACTAAGTGAGATACTCACTGATCTATTAGATGCAGAAGTAATTTTAGTGAATGTATATTCAGCCTAAATAACAAGTATATCTTCTTTTTTTACTTTAGTAAAGTCCAATTGACTACATTAAGTATGATAATTTCCAATTTATCAATTACAACTTATCAACTACAACAATCAGTGTCATGTCTAATCATAACGTGATCAAACATTTTTATTTTATAAAACCATTTATCTGGACATCTTGCTACTAGCTCAGTTCTATTGAAGCAATAAAACAAAAATTTAGTTTGAAAGAAAATAAAAAACTTATTTTTGCATATCAAAAGAGTTAAGTAACCGCCTTGGATATCTCGTTGCAGAATCTCAGCAACTCATCATCAAAAACATCAGTGGTCCATCCGCTGTGAAAGTTGGCGATGTCGATCACGTAATCCTCGACTGCGACTATGCCCTGGAAAACACCTCGAGCCAGGGATTAGTAGTCAAGTGGTTCTTCAATGACAACCAATTAGTTTACCAATGGATCTACGGCAGAAGTCCTGCAGCTGACGAACCAGTTGCAAAATACATTGATATAATGTACAAAGCTAGCGATGATCCCTTAACTAAGTATCGAGCTATGAAACTGAATAAACCAGGAATCGATTTAACGGGTGATTACACATGTATAATATCAACATTTGCAGACGAACGGATGGCAAACATATCTATGGTGATGTATTGTAAGTATCTCTCTGTCTGTCTGTCTCTCTCTCTCTCTC